CTGAGCCAATCTCGCAAGGTAGTTGTGAGAATAAAACGGAGAGGGAAGAATAATCTATGCTGTCTTGAGCTCCTTGGAGGAAAGAGGGAATAGAAATGTAGACAATTAATAAAAATGGGCTTCTGAGTTGTGTGGGTTTATATGTGTGTGTGTTTGTGTGTGTATTATTACAATCTATTGCAAGCTGCCTTGAGGATCATTTCATAAAATGGAAGAATAAAAATCTTTTGAAATAAATAATTAGATGGATGGGTTTATCTTAGGAAAGATCAGGACTCAATCTTACTTTAGAAATGTGTATACATGTGTGTGTATTAACTATATTGCTTCAGGATAGAGTGTGTCTTAATCTCCTGAAGCTCAGCAGCATGCCATAGGGGACCCACCTTCTCTCTTCTCCCAACTAGGAATCGGAAATGAGCAGTTTCTCATTGCTGAGATCTCCAAAGCTCAGAAGGGCAATATGAGAAGTCCCTCTTCTCCTTTCCTTGAGAGAGGAAGGAGGTTCTCTCATGTGGACTTGGATTAGGCCCTTTGCCAAATGAATTGGTAACAGTGGCGTGCAGTCAGTAGACTAGGGGGACCAGGCTAGTCCTTTAAATGTTCCTGGTAAATTAGAGGAGTATTAAAGCCTGGTGCTTCTTTCCTGAAGCCCAGGAAGCTTCTGCCCGGCTTAAGGAGGGAGGCACAATGCTCACATGCACCATGTCAGGCCGTCATGAAATCATGCGTGTAGTGTTCCCCACCCCCCATGGTCCTCATAAACTGATGTCTGGCCCTAACTTCCCCTACGAAAAAATTCACCACACGATACTAATTGGTTGAGGCCTCTGAAAGCAACATAGATTCTAGATGGTGTCATTTCCCCTCCTAGATAACTCAGATTTTTTTTGTTCATCTTCCAAATTGTGCATTGGAGACCTGATCATTGCTGACATATTCATAATAACCAGATCAATCTAATTACCTATGTTTTCAAATCACCTTACTTGTTCTTCAGGAAATGATAATCACCTCTGTCCTGAATACACAGCTTTACTATGTATCGCAAGGCCTATTATTTTCTCTTTTGACTCATCTGATAGTGAGCAGGAGTAGCTAAAATGGAATTTAAAATGTGAGAGTTAATAAGCATCTGCCCACTCTTTTGGGTGGCAGCAAACTTGGCTGAGGAAAGGGAGCCAGCGATCAACCGTGATCTACCAAAACCTCCAGGGGATCTACCAGTAGATCGCGATCGACCTGCTGGACATCCCTGCTATAAGTCAAACATGTTTGGACTAAGACAAAGAAGAGGGAGCGTAAACAAGAACTGCACACTCTATTAATCAACATTTCAACATTTTCATATAGAAAGTGCTTTGCAGTCATTACCTATTTTAATTTTATAGCAACTCTACATCATTTATTGAATTATGATAAGTTCTGCAAAACAAACTTACCCCAAACCACCTGCATAAATAACTGACTGAGTGAAAATATGAATCTGACATTCCTGCGTTCAAAGCCAATATTTTATCCATTTGCTTCTGTTCCTGGTTCTTCAGGAAGCGCTTAGGAAGCATAATATTAAATCTGCCAGACTGAAATCTTGCTTTTCAAGTCTAATCATCAAGAAATTGCACAAGAACATCTGGCAACTTCGGGAACATGTGGAAGTGCAAATTCAATCACAGCTACAGAGGTTACTCCTTCAGATCAAGGATGAAGTATAATTATGTTTCATATTGTGTGGGAAGGTTTCACACTTCACCCATCTCACAACTGGTAAAGAAGATGATTGCAGCAGTCTTCATGCATTGTTGGTGCAGCACCAATCAAAAGTACCAATCTGACAGAGGTGTGATACTTAATTATTTTATTTTATTTGACTATATATTATGATGTAGAGTTACTGTGGTTTTTATACTCAAGTTATGTTAAAAATGTTAGCATCACATCATAATAGCAAAGTAAAAAAGAGAATATTTATGCATGTAAGAAGTGCTTGTCTCACTGTGTGGTGTAAGTACAACCAGTGTTTTTTCCTAGAAAACTGCTAGTACTCACCATGAAGTTGTTACAGTAAGTGTCATACTTTTTAACAACAACAAAAGTAGGGCCGGTACTGCGTGCCCTTGAGTACCCCCTGGGGGGAAAGCACTGAGTAAACTACACATTGCCAAAAAAGAGGGAAAGCATCGTAAGAACAAGAGGACAATTATTTGCTTAAGTATGCATACGCTAATTTATAAGCATAAATGGAAACTCAGAATTACTGTTTTTTAAATAGAAACTCAATACATCTTACTATAGTGAGACAGTCTGCGCTGAGGTGACCTGTGTGCCTACTCAATCTACCGTCCAGGTGCCAACTACTGATGGATAATTTCAAGGTCTCTGCTCTTCCTTATGATGTCTGCTGGAAAAAAAGCAGGAAAGGAAAAACAGGAAGGTACAACAGGAACACCATGGTAAAGAACAAAAGCAAAACTCTGTCATGCAGAAATAACACGTCTTCAGAGAAAAAGTCCAAAGTCTCTGATATGCTTACACAAATCTTTTTATAGACAATGTTTCATTTGAAATCAATGTGCTGGCAGTGAAGCAGCATATAAAATTCCCTAGAAATTTGGGTGTATGCAGAAGAGGTTTTAGTATGCAACAATAGCAAGCAGCATATAATAAGGCACTTAAGTCCTGTTACTGAATCACAAAAAAATTCAAACCAGCAATGTTACTGCTTATCATCATCACCACCACCATCATCACTATTCATTTATTAATCACCTTGTAAACAACTATTTAAAGGTGATTTACACATATTATTAAAAATAGTTGAAAACATAAATACAGAGCAACTACATTTAAAACAAAACTAAAATCCCAACAAAGTAGATTCTTCTGGTAAATAACCATTTATTCAGCTGGCAAAGCCTGTTGGGGAAAAATGTCTTAATTTAAATCCGGAAAGTGAAGATAATGAGTGCCTGTCATATATTGACAGGAATGCTGTTCCACAGAACAGGACAGCCGCACTAAAGGCCCTGCTGTGTTACCAAGGCTTCAGACATCTTTGGAACTTGCAGGAGAAACTGTCACGCAGACCGTAGGGATATACTGTAGATGTTGCAGTTATCTTTAAGATGAATAGAATCTTAAGAGCAAGTCTGTCACTTAGGGTTGTCAGAGAATGTCAAGGTCAGTGGATTGATGTTGTACATATATGTGGTGCCTGCTTATTAATAAAATATCTCTTTTCTAATCACTACATTTCTACATTGAATTTGTCTTCATATAAAAGACAACACATAGACAGTGTTAAAGTTACTACTGAGGCAGTACATATAAGAGATCTGGAGAATGGCAGGTGCAGGGCTTGATCAAAGGAGGAGTATTGTTGCTACTTTGTGATGTGGTGTTTGTTAGCACTACAATACTGACATTCATCAATGTGTCAGAACTGTTTTTCTGTGCACACCAGTACTTCTCAGGGTGGATACTTCCTGGAAAGGTAGCACTGTCTTGTAGAGCCAACTTTACTGGTGTAGCTGCACAACATAAGCCAGAGATATCACACCCTCTCTCCCATGTCCTTAAGATTTCCAGTTACAGCACTTCAGTTAGCCAATGTTTTTCTTCTTTGTACTGCTTTTTCCTGTTACAGATAGGTAGCCGTGTTGGTCTGCCATAGTCAAAACAGAAAAAATTCCTTCCAGTAGCACCTTAAAGACCAACTGAGTTAGTTCTTGGTATGAGCTTTCGTGTGCATGCACACTTCTTCAGATACTGGAGGAATTTTTTCTGCTTTTTTCCTGTTGTGTTATAACTAGATTGCACTTTTGAAGGCTGTTCAGGGCTCCTCTACTTTTCACTCTTTCTGTCAGTGATGTAAACTTAAAGCATAAAACAGGCTATTTTCCTGTTTGGTCCCATCAAATATCCATTCCATTGTATGGGGAACAACACAATCCTGCTTTCGTCCATACAAACTGATATAAAATAGCTACTGAAAGACTATGGGCCAGTATGTTGTAAGAAACACATTTAATGTAAATTTTATACATTTGCAATATACATTACTGTATACATTGCCTTACCTCTTCAGATACAGTAGTTATGTTTGGATATCATCATGACAGATCCAAATAGTTAGAGATGGACCAGTAACTAAACAAGGAGAAAAGTCAAACTATATTTTTATATTAGTTCACACAAATCACCTGAAACTGCCACTTGCCTTCTTCTGTGCTAAGGTAGTAAGCTGGGTTTCATTATACCAGAAAAGGGCAGGTTTTTTCTGAGCCCCGGGGTGATCTCACAAATCACTCCTGACACGAAGATTTCAGAGCTGACCTTAGCAAACCAACTGGAAATTCTATAAAATAAATTCCTTACAGTGTTACCTTCCACCACAGCAACAAATAACTGGGCGAAGGTCAGCCTAATGCTTGCATTACATAAGTGTATATTGCATATACACTTGTAATTGTGTGTTTCTATAATACTTAAAGAAAATAACATTGAGGACAGGGTCCCCTATAAATCAGAACGTGGTTCACAAAAGCTCGTGCCATAATAAATGTGTTAAGTCCCCAGGACTCTTGCTGTTTTTTGCAAATGAGTCAGGGGCACATGTCAACCACAGCGGTTTCCTCCACAGTTCGAAACAGAAATTGGCTAAACTCAACTGCAGAGTTGACAGCCTTCAGGCACCACCTTAAGAACAGGACGAAACCTGTAGAAGCCCTTTTCCCTGGATCCAACCCACCCCTTCTTTTCGAGTAAACAGAAACAAAAGCGACAGCCAATGAGAAAGCCAGGCATTGGCGAGCGGAACTGAACCACCCCTTTCTCTCTCTGAGGAGCCAGTCGGAGCGCGCCGGGCTTCTCTCACGGCATGCTGGGAATTGTAGTCCCGCCGGGTTTTTTCCCCCTGCGCCTGCGTACGCCTCCTCCTCCTCGTCGTCGTCGCTCCCGGCTCCCGCCTTCTGCCTCGCGCCCGCTCGCTTCTCCTTCTCCTTCCGCCTTTGTTGTGCGCGTGCGTCTTTCGCGCGCCTGACTTTGGACAGAAGCCGCCTCAGGTTGGACTTGGACTGGCTGCCATCTTAGGCGAGGAGCCGTCGCCTTTCTCGCTGGTGAGGAGCTTGCTGTGTGCTCTTCGGGCTGCCTCGGTAGAGGAGCTGGGCCCGCGGGGGTGGGGTGGGGGGAAAGAAGGCTTTTCTTTCTGGGCCTGCGGCGAGACCGAGGCCGAGGGAGGGGGCGTCTTAAGGCAGGGCGGGGGAGCTCAAGGTAGGCCTGGCTTGCGAAGGGTGGGCGGCGGCGAGGAGGGGAAGGCTGGCAGCAGGTGCAGCAGCCTCGCTTAGGGGGAGGGAGGGGGTGCGGTGGGTGGGGTCCTGCCCAATATCCTTCGAAGGGGAAAGGGATCCCGTTCTTCCCTCCCTCTCCCCCACCTCCAGCCTGTGAGCTCAGTGCAGTGGCGTAGCGTGGGGGGTGCAGGGGGGCCCGGCCGCACCGGGCGCAACATCTGGGGGTTAGGGGGCGCAAATCCACGGGTTAGGGGGCGCAAATTACTTGCCTTGCCCCGGGTGCTGACAACCCACGCTACGCCACTGGCTCAGTGCCTCCCCGCTTTACCTGTGGACTGAGAGGCATTCACAGCTTCAGACTGAGGGGGTTGGGGATGATGCGCGGGTGGGAAGGAGACATCCCCTCCCATTACGGCCTCTTCTTCCTTCCTCTCCTGCTATGCCGTCGGCAGGCGTTTTCTTTCCCCCTTCACTGAAGTTGTTCGCAGGGATTGTGCACTCAAGATGGCCTAATTTTCTTCTCGGTCCCCCTTTTCGCGACCTTGTGTTGTCAGGATGACGAGGCCCGGTGGGTGGGTGGGATGGATGGAGGTGTCCCGAGGTGGGTGGCCCTTTGGTCTGGGACGCAAAGCTGGGGGGTGTGTGTATGTGTGACCCGAAGGTTCCCAGCCTCAGGAAGGCACTCCAATGCTGTTTGTGTAAGTACATGCTGTAGTTATGTGTATCCTTTGCTGCTGTCCACAGCTCTTGGCTCTTTTCACCCATTCCAGTTTCGTTAGCATTTATCGGAATATTGTTTCCTGGATTGTTCTTATTCTCGTTGGCTTCTGTATGTCTCTGTCATCTAGCGGCCATATCCGGACAGCACCAGTTGTTAAATACAGGGAATGCACTCTCTTCTCTTCCACCTGCTACTTTTTAAGGAAGCCAAGCAGATCCTGCTGTTTAGGTTATTGGGTTTGGATGGCTTGGGGGTGGGGAATGATGTTTTGGAACTCTTAGCTGTGAAAATCTTGTACATTTCAAAAGGTGTAGTGCAGCCCTGACCAACTGAGACTCTCTTGGCTTGTGTCCCTGTGTCGTTGCAAACACAGTATCCCCTTGATGCTTTAATGATGTTTGCCTTTGCAAATATACATGTTGCATCTATACCTGCGGCATAAAGCGTGGATTGGCTTTTGCTAGATGGCTTTAGGTCACCTTATGGGGTGCTACTTTTAAGTTTAGAACAAGCAAGAGATAAATATAATGAAATGCAGTACATAATTGATATGAAAGTCATCAATCTAAAGTTGAGGATTGTTAGCAACTGTTGTGTCTGTTGTTCCAGTTAAAAAGGCTGAACTGCTTTTAAATTCTGATAGTTTTTGAATATTAAACACTGAACAGCAGAGCCTTCATCTTACAGGATTTGGAATGGATGGTAAGGTAAAGGTAAAGGGACCCCTGACCATTAGATCCAGTCGTGACCAACTCTGGGTTTGCGGTGCTCATCTCGCTTTATTGGCCGAGGGAGCCGGCATACAGCTTCCGGGTCATGTGGCCAGCATGACTAAGCCGTCTCTGGCGAACCAGAGCAGCGCACGGAAACGCCGTTTACCTTCCCGCCAGAGCTGTGCCTATTTATCTACTTGCACTTTGATGTGCTTTCGAACTGCTAGGTTGGCAGGAGCTGGGACCGAGCAATGGGAGCTCACCCCATTGCGGGGATTCAAACCGCCGACCTTCTGATCGGCAAATCCTAGGCTCTGTGGTTTAACCCACAGCACCACCCGCGCATTTAGATGGTGCTAAATACTTTAAATTATTTCAAATGTTAATGGGAAGGTTTTCAAAGCTTTATACTACCAGTAATAACAGTCTCATTGCAGCAAATGTGTGGGAAGAGTTCCTTGGATGCATATTACACTGTAAGGAGGGGAATTGCTATATGGACATAAAGCCTTTCTAATGGTTACTCTAATGTTAGCCCCTCTGATTCCAATAGTTCATGTAACTGTTCATAAGATTTCAGCCATTCAGCAAGATTCTGTGCAGAATTCGTTTGACCTAAGTCTCTTGAAATCAGGTGACTTGTTAGGCTCTACAATGACTAATTGAACGGGAAGGTTGCAATCCTGTACATACTTACTTGGGAATTGGCCCTATTGACCACAACAGATCTATTTACAACCTGTTTTGTTCTTTTCCTATTATTCTTTACTCAGTAATTTTGTAGTTGTGCTTGAAAGATTGCATCGCTCTCTAGGGACCTTGTGCTACAAGTTGGACAAGAAATGTTAATAGATGAATACAACAGAATCTTGAGACGTCTCTGCTTGTAACCACTTGGGATAAAGTTACAAATGTTTGAGAAACAGTACCAAAAGAGGGGAATACAGTGGTGCCCCGCAAGACGAATGCCTCGCAAGACGAAAAACTCGCTAGACGAAAGGGTTTTCCGTTTTTTGAGTCGTTCCTCAAGACGAATTTCCCTATGGGCTTGCTTCGCAAGACGAAACTTCTTGCGAGTTTGTTTCCTTTTTCTTAAAGCCGCTAAGCCGTTAATAGCCGCTAAGCCGCTAATAGCCGTGCTTCGCAAGACGAAAAAACCGCAAGACGAAGAGACTCGCAGAACGGATTGATTTTGTCTTGCGAGACACCACTGTGTGTCTTAAAACAGAAATTGCTGTAGTCAGTAGGACTTACTGTATCACTGGTATAAGTCTAAAACCAACTGCACTTGCATCCTGATCCTGTACATGCTTACTAAGAAGTCGGTCCCATTAAGGGTGACTTGTTTCTTTTTTTGTATGCTTATGTTTGGGGCCTTACTTTCAGATGCACTTGCACTGTAAGTTGTACTGAGTTAGGTGGCTTTTACTCCTTAGTAAATTGCAAACTTTATCTTGCAGCACTGCAAAATATTTTAAATACATAGGAAATCTGAAAAAAGCTTGTGAATTATTATTGAAAATACATTTAAAAATGAATTTAAATTGTGGACAAGTCATTTAAAAAGAAAGTTCTACTCATAAATCTTAGCTCCAAGTAAAGGTATTTCATTTTGCAGTTTTAAGTTTAGCACTTTTTGTTATTACAAAGCATATGAATGATAAGTTGATATTCATGTAAAAATAGCACCATAAAGCCTGAATTTGGAAACTGAAAACAGACATGGTTTTGTAGGTCTCACCAAAAATTACTTGTGTTCTGATTCATTTGGCAGCTAACAGGCAAATATTTATAATGGATGAATGCCAATAACACACAATGATGCTGTTGCCAAAACAAAGTTGTTTTGTAAAAGAGGCCATTGAAATTGTGAACTAAATAATCTTGTATTGCATATTGGGTGTACACAAATGTCTTGTTCACACATTGCATTAGACCACAGTTTAAAGTGTTTTGATTACAGTGCACACCGCTCAAAAGTTCCTGTGCCTGACAGACAGGGCATGATGGCAATAACTAATAACAATTAGTATTGAGGCATACTGCCTCTGAAACTGGAGGTTCTGATAGCTGTCATGGCTAATAGCTTTTGATAGATATAATTATCCATGGATTTTGGAGACTTATCCTCCACGATGATCTAATTCTGCTGTAATGAATGGTTTTAAAGCCATTGGAACCAATGACCATTGCTTTACTTTGTGGTTTTCACTTTGTGGAAATAGGCTATATAGAATAGATAAGGTGATGGTCTTTGTTGGATCAATATCTATTGGTATAGGAGCAAAACATATACTTTGGAATTCAGCAAAGGGCAAATCTATGGAATGCGGTTTGTGAAAACTATGCTGATACACAAGAAGGTGTCCTCAAATACATTTGTTAGGATGCTTGAAAACTTTTTGTTTTGAAAAATGGTACATTCAGAAACAGATAAGAGAAGGTGGCTTATCTTTAAAAGGCATAATGTCTCCCCCACTTCATAGATAGTAGACTACTTTGTTCAGTGGTATTTGGCACTGATTCTGAAACTGCCAGGCGATGACACGTATAATGATAGGCTTTGTCACTAGGAACTTGTCCAATGCAACCAGATAATTCCCAAGCTTGTTGTCCTTATGCTCATTATGGACCTACAGATTGTGAAATTAGTTTGTAATTATGAGAAATTTGCTGTACAGTACCTGTTTGTTCTTACCTCAAATATGAAAAGCATTTATATAAAGGAACAGGAGCAGTTGTTTGAATGTTCCCACTGATCTTTATTGCAATGTCAATGTTTCTTTAAATATAAATGTTAATAAATAAATAAACTCTTCCAGGCTACAGGCTCATTGTGAGCACAGGTTTAAACTTGAATACCTTCTGCATTCAGGTATCATGATTCAGGGTCTTTTTCCTATAAAGGAAAAAGTATATACAAACTCAAAGGCCAGATGAAAGAGGTTTATGAAATTTATTTCCAGAAAAGTATTTCTGTCTAACTTGTTAATTCTGTCCTGTAGTACATTGTTTTCTAAACTTGTCTGATTCCCTTGTCTTCTGAGGTGCTGTTTAAGAAAATAACATTAGAATTGTAACTTTATCCTTGAAAACTTTGTTTTTAGGATGTGTAAATAGTATCTGCCTCAAAGGACTCTATCCTCTAGCAATCTGTGTGAACCACTATATTCTAGATGTACATATTGATTAAAAGAGGCTAGCGCCAGAGCAACAACTAATGCAGAGATTCAGCATGGACATTCTCTGAGGGATTATAATTCCCACTGTGTTGGGAGTGATTGGATAATCCAGTTGTAGATTACAGAGAAGTGGCAGAATTACCTGACCCCAGTGGAAGCTGTTTTGAAGGAGGCAAGGCCAAAGCATGCAAAGATGCACAGGTTGGTTGTCTT